GAGATAGGTGATGGTAAGCTGTAGAAATGGGAAGGAATTTAAACCGGGCCTTTAATGATGGGTAGGACTTACCCAGGTTGGCAGGCAGAATTGGTGTCCCAGGCAAAGGGACCAGTGTGAAGAGGTACAGAAAGGTGAAGAGGAGAGGACATGATTGTTATTTCGAAGACACATCCCATATCGGGTGAAAAAGTTCAAAGGAATGAAAAGTAATGAGGTTGGACAAATCAGCAGTGCAGGCTGCTTGAACGCCCTCTGTGCTGTCACACACCTTTGTCCATGAATTCTTTTCCCAATTTTATCCTTGCCTCAAAAACCACTTTCTTTTTCAGAATCCACTTTGATTATTATTACTTGTGCCTGGGTCTTATTACCCAAGATGGTAAATTCCTTGAGGTCAAGGATGGTGTCTTTAGTCACATATAATTCCCAAAAAGTACCCAGAAGAATGCTTTGCATAAGTACTTTGCTGATTTGAATAGGATAAGTTGTAAACTACCTTATGATTTAACTTCCCTCTCACCACTGTCAGGCTCTGGTTTGGAGGCCCAGGAACACACAGATCAGGTGACAATGCATTCAGCTGCAGGGGTAATCATTCATACATATTCACACGCATGGGACTATGCTAGGCAATATCAAACAGCACTGGCCTAAGAACTTGGCTTTTCGACATTCGTACCTTTGACTACAAATCAGTAGAGTTTATGTTATAATTAAAACAGTTCAACTTTTGGCTGGACGTGGTGGCTCATGCCTGTAATCCTAGCACTTTGGGAGGCTGTGGTGGGCGGACCACCTGAGGTCAGCAGTTTGAGACCAGCTTGGCCAACATGGTGAAGCCCCATCTCTACTAAAAATATATATATATAAAAATCAGGCAGGCATGGTGGCATGCACCTGTAATCCCAGCTACCTGGGAGACTGAAGCAGAAGAATTGCTGGAACCCAAGAGGCAGAGATGGCAGTGAGCTGAGATCTTGCCAGTGTACTCCAGCCTGGGTGACAGAGCGAGACTCTGTCTCAAAAAAAAAAAGAGTTCAACTTTGTTCTACAATTGTGCCTTTGTGTTGTTAGGTATGTGATAATAGAACATTTATGAATTGAATAATCATTTTGTGCATGTGTTGAAGCCTGCCACATATAATCCAGAAATCATTCAAAGCTAATCACATACACATGTGAGATGGCAACTGTGATTCTGCTTTTTACCCGGTAATATACATACTAAGCTTTTTGTAGCACTGATTTTATGCTTAAAGATACATTGTTTTCATAAAACATGTATTAGTGTTTATACAACAACCCTAAATACATGTATTAATTTTATAGATTCATGACATTCATCATTTTCTGGGCAATACCTTTATATTTTTTGGGGTAATTTCAACTGAGATTTTCATATTTGCCCATTCATTATCCAGCCCCTTAGTTGGATGTGACTGCTGTCTGAGCACCTTCTATGCTAGGTCATCCTTATAAAAGATGATGAGATGCTTACTCGGATCTAGAGGAGGCCGCAGTTTAGAAGGGGACAGACTTGTAAAAGATGTAGCGACATCAGTATAAATCAAGGCACAGAAGTCAGGATGGTGGGGGGAGTAGGCTGGCATGTGGAAGGAAGTTAAGGAAGGTTCCTAGAGATAACTTTTTTTTTCTTTCTTTCTTTCTTTCTTTTTTTTTTTTTTGAGACAGTGTCTTGCTCTGCTGCCCAGGCTGAAGTGCAGTGGCACGATCTCAGCTTGCTGCAATCTCCAGCTCCTGGGTTCAAGTAATTCTCCTGCCTCAGCCTCCCAAGTAGCTAGGGCTACAGGCATGTACCACCACACCTGGCTGATTTTTGTATTTTCAGTAGAGATGAGGTTTCACCATGTTGACCAGGCTGGTCTTGAACTCCTGGCCTCAAGTGATCTGCCCTCCTTAGCCTCCTAAAGTGCTGAGATTACAGGCGTAGGCCACCATGCCTGGCCCCTTGAGATAACATTTAAATTTAAGCTGGGTTTGAAAGAGAAAGAATTTATCAGATGGAAGGAGGAAAAGAGTGTTTTAGAGGAAGGGAAAGCAGGTACAAAGACATGAAAGTGAGAAACTGAGTAGTTTGAGGAACTGTAAATGATTCCATTATCTTGGAGCATCAAATGAAATGAGATACAAGCAGAGATGAGCTTGTTTCCTTGATAAGGAGCTGGGACTTTGTTCTCTGAACCTGTGTTCCTCAAAGTGTGGCCATAAACCACATGCACAAGAATGCCTTGAGGTGCCTGGTATAATTTAAAATTTCTGAATTCTAAACTGCACTTACAGAATTAGAATCTCATGAGATGGACCAAAGATCTGCATTCTGTAAGCTCCAGTGATACCTATACATGCTAAGGTTTGGAAACCATAGTTATTATATAGGTGGTGAGAAGGCTTTGAATGGTGTAATGTAGTGTAGTGACTTACTAAGATATTTACTTTCCAGAGAACCTGGAGGCATTATAGGAGATCTATTGGAAATGTTTCCCAGGAAGCAGGGAGATGATTAAGAAACTTTTGCAGTAGTCCACATGAGCTATTATAAGTGCCAGAATTAAGAGTGATGTGATGGAGTAGAGAGAAGACAGTATGTTTATAAAATGCTTTGGAAGGAGAGAGAGAAATTTGGTGAACAATTTAAACTCCCAGCTGTTAGACTTGAGTGCTGTAGGGAAGTGATGCAGTAGAGTAGATAGTTAAGGCTGTGAACTTTGAAGCTAGACTGCCCCAACACTGGTACTTTTCTATCTGTGCAATTTTTGATAAGTTGCTTAGCCTCTCAGTGCCTCAGTTTCTTTTATAAAGTTACAAAGTTTCCTTTGTTTTGAGGATTAAATTAACAGCAAAAAAAGCTTGGAACAATGCCTGGCACTAAATAGTATTTTAGAGAGGCAAAGTAGGTAGTACTAGTTAGCATATTCATAGTTGTAGTCTAGAACTAATAGTTAACATAATTAGTTAGAAACATGGTAGATAAAGAGCTTGTCTCAGTCCATTTTCTGTTGCTGTAACAGAATATCTGAGACTAGTTAATTTGTAAAGGAAAGAAGTTTATTTGGCTTGTGGTTCTGGAGGTTGTGAAGTCCAGAGGCATGGTGACAGCTTCTGGCTAGGGCTTTTGTACTGCATCATAATATGGTGGAAAAACTGAAGGATAAGTGAGCAAATGCAAAAGAGACCACAAGAGCAAGCTTAGCTCTCTTTTAAAACAATTCATTCTTGTGAGAACTCACCCCTCCAAAATGCTATTGAACTATTCATGAGGGCTGTGCCCTCACAACCCAATAACCCCTTAAAAACCTGACCTCCCAACACTACCACATTGGGAATTAAGGTTCTAATAACCGGAACTTTTTGGGGGGGACCCATTCAAACTATAGCAGAGACCAAAAGTTTAATTGCTCATGCCTGTAATCCCAGCACTTTGGGAGGCTGAGGCGGGCGGGTCACGAGGTCAGGAGTTCGAGACCAGCCTGACCAACATGGTGAAACCCTGTCTCTACTAAAAACACAAAAGTTAGCCGGGTGTGGTGGTAGGTGCCTGTAATCCCAGCTACTCAGGAGATTGAAGAATCGCTCGAACCCAAGAGGTAGAGGTTGCAGTGAGCCGAGATCATGCCATTGCACTCCAGCCTGGGTGACAGAACAAGACTCCATCTCAAAAAAAAAAAAAAAAAAAAAAAAGTTTAATTGCCCAGTTTGAATCCCAGCCTGCTATTATTAGTCATATGACTTAGGGGAACTCTCTGTGCCTTAGTTTATCTGTAAAATGGGAATGATATTAATGTATACCACATATGGTGAGGATTAAAATAATGCATGTAAAGGCTTAGAACAGTGCAGGCACATGGTAAGGACTCAATAAATATTGACGACTACTGTCATTATCATTATTAACCAAGAAAAGGAAGCTACGTTGAAGAGCATATATGTTTCAGTTTTGATCTTCCAGGTTAAAGTGTATAGTAGGCAGTTTGCAGTATAGGTTTGGAGCTCAGCAAAGAAGTCAGAGCTAGAGATATCAATTTGGAAGTGAAAAGTATAGAGAAGTTACTTCAAATCATGAGTTTCAGTGAAACGTCAAAGATAAGTGTTGTCATTCAGGAAGGAATAGATGGGGAATGGAAGCAGGAGAAAGGAAGAGGCGTTCTCTGAACCAGGCATTGTGCTACTTACAATTCTTCGTAGATACAATATACTTTCCATTCCCAATAACCCTACAGTATCATATTTGTTATGCTGGCGCCAAGTCATACTGGCTTATTCAGTGACTTCATGTTGGTAGCTTGCAATTGGCCTTGATGAAAGCATTTACACTATAGAAATGGGAAATGCTACAAATCAGAGCTCCCCTGTCCTCCGAGGCTCCCAGCCCTTGCCCTGCCAAGAACCACGTTACTAGGACAACATACAATTATCCTTGCTGTTGAAGAAATGGAAGCTTAGAGAAGTGAAGCCCCTGCCTTTTAAATTGTACAATGATTCCTCTTCATTGAAAATGCCCTTTAACTACTGTGGTTTTCCAAAGTTGAGATATTTGATGCTTCTCATACTTGAAAACTTAATTGTATGCCCCCTGTGAGTGAGTTATTACATTACTCTAATACTGTATTAGGAAACAATCCTGAATGAGTTTAGAGAAATAGTTTAGAGCATCTGTTGATGATGATTTAAAACACAGGGATTATATTTCCTTGACTATTAAAGAGTTTGCTGATTAGAAGTCATGAGCTAGTTTTATCAGCTATTATACTAAAAAGAGTCATTGAACAAAGGGGAAGTCAGATGATGTGGGAGAGAGTGAAAGAATTACAGGTAAATAGTCTCAAATTGTTTAATTCATTATATACCATACCTTAATGAGTTGATGAGACACTCACTTTATTTACACTTTGCTCTAGAACAGTGTAATTTAAAATGGATGTATAAAATTGCTTAGCATGAATCCAGAGACTTTACAGGAAAAAATATATATATTTCTAACTTGTTTCTAAAGTACAGATTCAGTTTATTAATCTGTTTATGACACAGTACACAGGAGGCAAAGTGTTTCACATCATAGACTTCACTTCCAACTCCTGGGAATGTTCATTTCTTTGGCTTACAGGAGAAACTAGACAGGAAAGCCAGGCACTGCTTAGGCAACTAAAATGAGGTTGGGGGCAATGCTAATATCCTCACAGGAACAGCCACAGGGACTGTTAGTCACAAGCTGGTTTTCTGGACCTGTTAGCTGGAAGCATGGGGAGCATCATTTCTGGATGCTCATGCTGTGTTGGGCTTCAGCCATCTCCAACACACAGGTACAGCACCCTTAGTGTCTTGCTGGATGTAATAGTACAGGGACTTGCTGTACTTTTCTCTTGAATTCAGACCTAATTTTCAACATGTCCACTTCATTGTGGGAGACCATGATTCTGATCAGTAGTACCTTTATCTCGAGTCCTCTTGCCCTTCATGGAGTGGTACAGCCAGTCAGCAAAATACAGGGGCTTGTTCTGAATACACTGGACCAGCTTCAGGAAAGCATTTTCTTGGTCTCCATTAACCTCTTTCTTGATGCTCTCCAACATGTCATAAGGGCTGTAGCTCTTGTACCTATCAAATACTTTCTGGAGGTGGGACATGCTGTGCTCGGTCATGATGGTGATCCACTTGGGAACATCAGTTCCTTTCCTCTTCACCCCAGTGTCATAGAGATCCCGGGCATTTTGGTCAATCAGTTCATAATCAATGACAGAACCATCTTCTGCTCTTCTACCCTTTGCTAGGGCAACACATCTGGTGACTTGCAGAAGTCACCAGATGTGTCTGAAATAATGTCCTTCTCCAGATCAGTCTTGTACATTTCCTTTAGACTCTGTTAATTTCCTGCAGCTCCTGGTTGGTTTTCCAGCAGATGATCTCAATGAGGGAGTCCTCGTTGGTTCCCAGCCCCTTCATGGAAGCTTTTAGCTCAGAAGCGTCATACTGAGCAGGTGTCTTTAATAGGCCCAAAGCCACTATCTAGGTGGCCAAATAAGGCTGACTTCGGTGCTGATGCAAGTTCCTTTTTGGTCCTTCTCTGGCAGGTGAAGGCAATATCCTGTCTCTGTGCATTGCTGTGGTTAGTCAAAATGTTGACAGTGGTGATCTCATCCACACCTTTGGTCTTGATGGCCATTTCAGTGTTCGAAGTATCCTGTTCAGCATCAAAGTTGGTGTAGGCTTTGACTGACCCATATGCACTTAGGGGTGTAGAGTGTTCACCCTCCAAGCTGAGCTTGCACAGGATTTCATGAACAGTAGACATTTTGAAGGAAGCTGGGCTGAGCACCGAGATCTGAGAGTATCCCCAGATGCTGAGCTGAAAATATATTATTTTATGCCCCTCTCCCCTGCCCCACCTCTGCAAACTACCACCTTTCCTCCCTAAAATATATGAGGAGGGAGGTCATGCAAAGTTGGCATCTTAGGTCATTATAGGACCATCACCCCATCCTTGAGAATCTCATCCTTGGGAACTCTTCTTGCATTTCAAGTGGAAAAAGATGCAACTAATATTGACTAAGTGCTAGACACTGTGCTGTGTTATAGAATGCGGTGGTGAACAGGACAGATGTTGCTCCTGCCCTCAAGCAGCTTACAGTGTAGTGAAGGATACAGACAGTTAAATAAAGTATCATGTGTTAAAGGATGGGGTTTTGTAAAGGATTTTAAAGAGAAAACATGATTCATGTGAGCCCAAAATGTAATTATCTTCACCCCCGAAACCCAGAAGAAGCCATGTGTGTAATGGGGAGAAAAGTGTTATGTGAAGGATCAGGGGAACCAGGTTTTATTCTTCCCCCGTCTCTGACGATCTCTGCAATGTATCTAGCTTCAACTTTCTCATCTATAAAATGGGGATGATAATGTTTGTCCTGTTATCTCATGGGATGGTATGTGAGAGAATGTATATGAAAGTGCTATAAATATGATTGAACATTTTGTTTTCTAGCGATGTAATGGGGGTTGTAATTTACTCATTCATTAATAACTTCTTCATGCACTTTTTCATCCAGCAAACATTTGTTAAGCATCTACTTGACTGAAGATCCTGTGTTAGATACTACACTTGGCTTAGTTTCATCTTATTGCATCATTCCATTCAAAACATCTAGATTTATTTAGCACTAACTTCCTTTATTTATTTATTTATTATTATTATTATTATTAGTATTATTATTATTATTGAGATGGAATCCTGCAGGCTGAAGTGCAGTGGCATGATCCCAGCTCACTGCAACCACTGCCTCCTGGGTTCAAACCATTCTCTTGCCTCAGCCTCCTGAGTAACTGGGATTACAGGCATGTGCCACCATGCTCAGCTAATTTTTTGTGTTTTTAGTAGAGATGGGGTTTCATTATGTTGGCCAGGCTGGTCTCAAATTCCTGACCTCAAGTGATCCACCCACCTTGGCCTCCCAAAGTGCTGGGATTACATGTGTGAGCCATTGTGCCCGGCCAGCACTAATTTCACATGAAGTTGGAATGGGTGGTGAGAGGAAATCTGCATTTATTGATCCCCTATTTCAGTCTAAGGGTTCACCTTCTCTAATCTTCCTGGAGGGGTAGGTGGAAGTGACCACGAAGAATATGGGTGAGAAGCTGTTGAATTAAAAATTCATTTTGTGCTTCATAGGCTAGACTTGTATCTGGAAAAACAAAATGGTTTAATTATGGAATTATAGAATAATTGTCAAATTGATTATAGTTACTTTAAAAATTCTTGTTATTCATTTTACTAGCTAATATGTAACTGTCAAATGAAATCTTTTACATTAAAGTAGATAAAAAAGATTTTATAAGTATTATATGTGTTTTGTGTTATTTATATTTGTTATGAAAGAACTAGTTTTTAAAATATATTTAGAATATTTTAGAGAGAGAGAAGAGACTTTCTACAAATGAAATAGAATTTACTGAAAAGCTTCAAGAGTAAGGCATGATCCCAAATTATTTCTAACTTCTGAAATTGTCTTAAGACACTTTACAAATACTTGAACATTTCAGCATAATGACAATATGCTATAGTGCTGCATCACCATCAAGATGTTTCTAGTTTAACTGTTGGTGAAAATGGTCGGCATCAATTGTCCTCCCAAGTATATGCTAGTGGTGTCCTTTTAATCTTCAGGAGTAATGCACTGATTCTGCTGTGCTTTCAGATAGAGTTTAAAAAATAATAATAATCAATTATCTCCAATACGACAAAAGATGTCCATAAGAATCAGGAGATGTTACCAGGAATGCCAACCAGCCATTCAGAAACCGAGCCATGGAGCTTAAAGAAAAGATTTTTTTTAAACAGTATTACAAAATAAAAATGGTAGTCCCTATTTCATCTAGCTTCTTTCAAAAATATGTAAGCAATGTTAGACAAACAGATGTTCCTGCGACTTTGTGATTTAATTTACATGTGGGCAACAGACTTGAGCTCTCCTTAAATTCAAACCAAGAATAAGCGCTGGGCCAACACATTGCCCTTGAGTTCAGCAGAGATCATGGAACCTCTTTCCAGCAGTGTGGTCTTTTGCAACACAGTCCATTGCTCTTGTGACCTAGTATTAGCAGGTGTGGAACATCTCACATTCATTTCAAGCTAGGCATAGAGTCTTCCTTCTCCTTGTTCTGAATGGTATATTACTATGGCATTCAACTAAATATCTTTCCAAGTTTTAAAATTATACCCCAAAATACAACTATTGCCCATTTCTACTCACACTGAAAAAATGTGTGTTTATTTCTGTAAAGAACAAAAAGTGTTAGTATTTTTTGCTCATATTTTCCCTCCTCCAACATCATGTCCATATTTTCAAAAGGAAAACAGACTCTTTTTGACTAAGACACCTCCTTGACTAGTACTAAAGCACTGTTTTCTCTGTGTTTTTCTCTTCCTTTTATCAGCTGCTACTGCCTGCAGGGTCTTCTGAGTAGAATAGGCATCCTTCTAGCAGGACAGACAGAAGGTTAGAGGAAGGAGAGCAGCAGGCAGTTTTTGTCCCTACCTGGACCACAAGGACAGTCAATCAGTGTTCATCTACTCTGTTTGGGTGCTGCTTAACCCCTTCTCTCTTTTTTTTCAGTATTTCTTTCCCCCTACCTGTATGCCCTCTAAGCCCTGGGTGCACTGTCAACTTTATATAAGCAAGAATCTAGAACAGTCTGGGTTTTATAGAGAATCACTTCTTCTTTGGTTTATGGTCCAGTCTCAGTTAATTGGTCCTCATTTCCTCATATTGTTTAATTCCATGCTTGTGTTTATCAATTTTTTTTTTTTGTACAGACGGGTTCTCACTCTGTTGCCCAGGCTGTCTAGAACTCTCTTGGCCTCAAGCAGTCCTCCTGCCTCAGCCTCCCAAAGTGCTGTGATTACAGGCACGAGCTATGATGCCTGGCCTATAAAATTTTTTTCATAAATGAAGTTTTTATTCTTAAGAGACCCTGGCTTGTCCATACCACCTTTGAAAAATTATTTCTAAGCTGAGCATTTTAGAATTGTTTCTGTTTCTAGCCCATCTGTTTTGCTGTACCTGTTACCTAGCTGTTATTCAGACATGGGGGAAAGACCAAAAATAACACTTGTTTTAAAACAAATATAAAATAAAAATGGCAGTGCCTGTTTCATCTAGCTTCTTTCAAAAACATATAAGCAATGTTAGACAAACAGATGTTCCTCCGACCTTGTGATTTAATTTACATGTGGGCAACAGACTCGAGCTCTCCTTACCTTCAAACCATGGCACATATCCCCTTCGAGGACCAGCCACTCCTTTCCTGCTCCCCACTACCAGAAACAACTCGCCATTTCAAGAATGTTCATTGATTCCATATTCACGCATGTTATTGGGATTCTATGTGGATCAAGTATCAAAGATCCTTTCTTCTGATACATTTGGATTAAAATATGACAGTATCTGGATCTCACATTTTTCTTTCACGCTGGTGCTAGTAGATGAGATGCAGAGGTCGTGAGTAAACTTGATAGGGTCCATGATTCAATGAACTGACCACCACATGGGTCTGGTGAGAACCAGCTCGTCTATGATGATTCTGCCCGGCAGTTTTGTTGTTGATTTTATTCTAAGTTTAATCCATCACCAATTTCAATTTCTAAACCCAAAAATCTGTTTCAGACAAATCTATTCCCAAACAGTGTTTAAGCAGGTGTTTGACATTAGCCATCACCAGTGCATCCTTGTCTATGCTTTCCTAAGGCACTGCATTGATGTCGAAACACAAAATAGCAAATGGCTCTTTTTTTTTTTTTTTGAGACAGAGTCTTGCTCTGTCATCTAGGCTAGAGTGCAGTGGTATAATCTTGGCTCACTGCAACCTCCACCTCCCATGTTTAAGCAATTCTCCTGCCTCAGCCTACCGAGTAGCTAGGATTACAGGCACATACCACCACACCCAGTTAATTTTTGTATTTTTAGTAGAGATGGGGTTTCACCATGTTGGGCAGGCTGGTCTTGAACTCCTGACCTCAGGTGATTCATCCGCCTCGGCCTCCCAAAGTGCTGGGATTATAGGCATGAGCCACTGCGCCCAGCCCAAATTGCTCTTTTGAATATAAATGAAATTACAAACCTGAAGAATGGTTCTCTCTCTGTAACTATGAAACATTTAGCTTTCTTCGTGGTCATTTTTGAGCAAAATTCATTGTTTCCATTCATTAATATTTACATCATCTTATTGAAATAAATTATAAAAACTTCCTTTGAAACAAAACCAGATGTCTGTTAACCTGTAGATGATTTGCTGTTTTTCTCTCTGCCTCATCTATTCTTTTAAAAGAGAGTCTAGTATGGCCAGGTGTGGTGGTTATCGTGGTGTGTACCTAGAGTTCCAACTACTTGAGAGGCTAACGCCGGAGAATTGCTTAGGCCCAGGAGTTTGAGACCAGCCTGGGCAATATTGCAAGACCCTGTCTCAAACAAACAAAATAAAACAAATCAAAAAAAGTATCTAGTATGGGTGGAAATATTTTCTTGGATTAATGAATTTCCTTTTGCCTTTCTTATTTAATCTACAAAGCACCGTGTGAGAATATGTTTTTATAATTTCAGGAAGAATATCCAGCCTGTGATATATTGAATCTTTGAAAATAATCTCTAAGTAAATCTGTAATATGAAAATCAGCCTACTATTTTTATAACATCTGTGGCCTTCGGTTTGTTAAATGTACTGAAAGTCAAGTGTCCACGTTTCTTCCAAGAGCTGCTGAGTGAGAGGGTGGAATTTTGGCAAAACTGTAAAATAAGGCCCCTCTCCTGTTGCATATCCTTAGGGCAGGGCCCCTTTGCCAGGTTCCCTTCTCCCACTAAAACCCAGAATGGCAGGACCCAAACTGAGTCTGAACCATCCCAAATGCCCCCTCCCACCCCAAATGCAAACCAGGTCCACAAAGATAGAAGACAGGGGCTGAGTGAGCGGGGCTGAGAATGTTCATTCTGAGAATGCCATGCCCAAGGCAGCACAGACCTGGCAGATAGCAGTGGCGTAGGGTAAAGTGGGAAAGCCATGTCAGATAAAGGCAGGCCATATTAGTTTTTAGTATGATGTCTTTGTGGGATCTAAGAATATTTTAAACATGTTTATATCCTAAATGTGACTTTGTTTTTTAAAGCAATTAGGTGGCTCAATCACTTTTTTTTTTTTAAACCATAGATTTAGAGGGAAACTGGTCCTGTTAACTCAATTCAAAGAAAAACAACAAGCTTTTGAAAAGAGTTATTAAGAGGCAGTTTATATTTCTCAAGTTAGTCTACATGTTGTCACTTAGGAAGTACTTTTTACTTTCTCAGGCCTGTAACAGATGATACAGGAGAAACAGAATTATAAAAAATAGTTTCCACCTTTTAAAAATATGCAGCTACAAATTAATAAGAGAAGATTGACATTTGCTTTAAAAAGTGATTTTGCAGAGACTATTGGTCAGGAAGAGAGGTTTAATAGCATATGGATTTGGTCATTGAGCAGGGAGGGTACCCTTTTTTTAAAGTATTTTTAAAAACAATGCATTCTCAGGTACCAATGGAAATCTGAATTATTCTCTTGCTGAAATGCAGAAATCCAACCGTTTAGTGCTTAATTTTTACGGTTTTATCATTTATTTTAGGTACCAAAGGAAGAAATAAAGGAGAGTTTACAAATCTTCAGGGGGTAGCTGCATCTACAAGTGGAAAGATATTAATTGCAGACAGTAACAACCAATGTGTGCAGGTATAGCCCCAATTATATACCTTTAACTACTTATATTGATACAAATAAATATAGTTACATATTTTCCTACTTCAGACTTAAGATATATGGTGTAAGGAAAAAAGCTTATGTGCATGTAGACTTTTCTTCAAATAGAGTTTGCATGTTCTGATCTCTGTATGTATGGCAGATGTTTTTGCCTATGTCTTCCTCAGTGATGCCTGTGCTAGTTCACATTCTAATGAATGTAATTTATTTCACAGATATTTTCCAATGACGGCCAGTTCAAAAGTCGTTTTGGCATACGGGGACGCTCTCCAGGGCAGCTGCAGCGGCCCACAGGAGTGGCTGTACATCCCAGTGGGGATATAATCATTGCCGATTATGATAATAAATGGGTCAGCATTTTCTCCTCCGATGGGAAATTTAAGGTAAGATTAACTACTAATTGTTCAGTAAACAATGGAGAGGAGGAATAGGAAATATAAGATGAAATTGTGTATTTCTTTTTTGAGATGCCATGCAACATTCAACAATTCTTCATACACAAAGACATCTGGACATCTAAGTTTATGAAGTGAGAGTAACAGTGATAATTTCATAAGTTTATTCATATATATCCTAAATGTGGCTTTGTTTTTTAAAGCAATTAGGTTGCTCAGTCACTTTTTTCTTTAAAACCATAGATTTAGAGGGAAACTGGTCCTGTTACCTCAATTCAATGAAAAACAACAAGCTTTTGAAAAGCGTTATTAAGAGGCAGTTTATATTTCTCAAATTAGTCTACGTGTTGTCACTTAGGAGGTACTTTTTACTTTCTCGGGCCTGCAACAGATGATATGGGACAAACAGAATTGTAAAAAATAGTTTCCACCTTTTAAAAATGTACAGGCTCATTTTGGAAAAAAGACTCATACACAAGAAATGACAGTAAACAATTTGTGTCAGTCTCTAATGAGTCATACACACTGATACAATCTGAAAACATATTGTTAAAGTATGTAATATGGGATTTGGAAAGAAAAGAAAATGAAGGCTGAATTTTCAGAGAAAATGCAACTGGAGCTACACTTTGAGGGATCCCATTGTTTGATGTATTTACTATCATTCCCAGCATCAGCTTTTTGCAAATAAAGATTTGACTCAGTGTCTTCACCAAATCACCAAAGAGTAGAGAGCCCTCTGGTGATAACAGAAATCTCTCTTATGAGGTGTCATCAAAGAATTGTATCAGCCTGCCCATTTTCTACATTTGTTCATAAGAAAATTATGAGACATCTTGTCAAAGATCTTTGTAAGGGCCAATTGCACTGTGCCTTATATATTTCCCTGTCCAGCCTACTGGAGGCTTCTATTTCTGTTGACAACATGAGTGTTAACTCAGATCAACCCATTGCCATCCCAGCTTATTACTGTTTGACCATCGGCAAATCGTAACTTCCTTGAGCTTCAATAGCCTCGAATTTAAAATTTTGATTTAAAAAAGATCTGTCTTGCCTGGGCATGGTGGCTCATGCCTGCAATCCCAGCACTTTGGGATTGAAGCAGGAGGATCGCTTGAGCTCAGGAGTTCAAGACCAGCCTGGGAAACATGGCAAGACCCTGCCTCTACAAAAAATAAAAAAAAAATTAGCCAGGTGTGGTTGCGCAGGCCTGTAGTCCCAGCCACTTGGGAGGCTGAGGTGGGAGGATTGCTTGAGTCCAGAAGTTAGAGGCTGCAGTCGCCCATGACTACACTAGTACACTGCAGCCTGGGTGACAGAGTAAGACCCTGTCTCAAAAGAAAAAAAGACCTATCTCATAGGATTTAAGCAAAGACTAAATGAGATTTTATGTGCCACATACAAAATAAAGATCTAAGAAATGAATGTTCTTTTCCATGCCGCTAGTAACCCTGTCCAAAAAAATGAAGTCTTGTTTGGTCAGCTATGGTTTGGGCTTCATGTCCTCACACAGGCACCTGGTGGTCATCACTTTCTTGTCTAGGAGTTTGGAGGTGCTGCTTTTCATAATCCATTCTGGAATTCTAAAGATTACTCAAAGTGTACTCATTGGTTTCTTATTGGAAGAATTTCTATTTTCCTTTTTAAAGTCTTCAGATTGCTGTAGTCCCCTCATTGTTTTTATGAAATGAGTTACTTACATAATTGTGAAACTCTCAGATTTGAGCCTCTATTTTGTGTGAGGCAGCATCTTGTCAATTTTGGAGACTGAAAAGGTGTCATTTTTTATTCCACAATATTGCATGTAATTCTTCAATCACCCTTGAATTTTTGGTTCCACTAGAAATTTAATGGCTCTGTAGGATGACCACATATACATAAAAATCTCCTGACTTTCTGTAGCTCTAACTTCTTCTCCCCCCTTTTTTTTTTTGCATTTTAATAATTGTGTATGTGGTAAGACATACCCAAATATGACAAGTTTAATGTGAATATTTATATCTTGAATATCTTGAAAATGTTTATATAGTTTGGAGGCAACCCATTTGTTTATGTTTTATACTCTAGCAAAACTGTGATCTGTCTTTGTAAATTCAGAAGCTAATACTAAAATAGGTTCACATACGGAGACAGGAGTTTTATGTCTAAGGATTAAGGGCTCGGTAAGCATTTTTTGTTCAGTGGTTCAATAGTCTATCTGTAATAGACACTCTTAGAAGAACTGGTTTCTTAGAGTTGGAATATTAAGGGTAATAATGGGAATAAACTCTAAAGAACACTCATGCCCCCTAGAGGACTGGGGGAGTGGAGGTGGTGTAGTTTCAGCAATACCCTTTTCTATGATAGGTGTTGATCAAAACCCAAAGGGTAAAAAGATAGCACATGAAAACACTTTAGGACCCTCACAGGAGTTCATCCAAGTGGAATATCCACAGGTATAGGCAGAGATACTTATTTTCTTCTGTGGTGGGACTCAGTAAAATTAAACAGGTGCTGAGAAAGACATACGTTTAACACCAGTATAGACTCTTTGTATTTATTCCTAGTAGTTCCAGAGATGTAACAGCTTATCTCCTTTTCTTTCTTTTATTCACCAATTTATTAGCCCTGATTTTTATTTCTCTCTGCTCCCTCTAAATTTATTCTATCTTCCCCACTGCCTCCTATCATCCAGCCCATCAAGAAACCTTTTCTATCCAAACAAATAGAGACACCTCTGGCCACCTTACTGTAAAATATCTCATCTCTTTCCTGTTCAATTTAAAGACCTATTTGTTGAGTTAAATACCCTGATTAAACCATTCCAAAGGCAGGATTAAAATATTTTTGTTGGGCCAGACTCAGTGACTCACACCTGTAATCCCAGCACTTTGGGAGACCGAGGTGGGCAGATCACCTGAGATCAGGAGTTCAAGACCAGTCTGGCCGACATGGTGATGGGTGCCTGTAATCCCAGCTACTTGGGAGACTGAGGCAGGAGAATCGCTTGAACCCGGGAGGCGGAGGTTGCAGTGAGCCGAGATCGCACCATTGCACTCCAGCCTGGGCAACAAGAGTGAAACTCTGTCTCAAAGAAAAAAAATATATCTATATATATGTATAATATATATATTTTTATATATACTTTTATATATTTTGTTTGTTTGTTGTTTGTTTACTATTCTGTTTAAGATGGGGTTGACACAATCAGGGAAATGCAGGGATTCTTACCTTTCACTTGGTTGAATCCAGTGCAACTAAACGAGGAGTGATGAAGGGAAGTGGAAAGAAATTTTGGTTCAATGTTTAAGTTATTCTTTTAGATCTACCCTAGTTGTCACTACGTGATAGAATGGAAGTAATCCTTTATTTTCTCTTTTTATTCTAGATAATTATCCATTTGATATTATTTGTTTGAGTCATCTAAGCAACTGCAAGTGTTCATAATGTTAAGTAGTAATAATATTCTTGTTTTAATCATGGAAGTGCCTTCTCTCCCTTTTGATCTCTGCTGACTTACCCTCCAGTTAGACATGAAAGAACAAATGCCATTTCTTTACCTACCATTATGTTATAGCCTCTTTGATCTTTGGGCTAGATTGGAGAATCAGAATCAAATTTACACAGCAGTTTCTCTTGCCAAGAAAACCACTGTTTCTTTCCTAAGTGATTGTGTTCCTTTGCTCTAAAGAGATGAAATCTGAATCTCCGTCATTTATAAACTTAGAAGAATAAAAGGAGCATATAAAGTCTAAAGTCCCCATCATGGAAAAGTCCCATCCTGCTACTAGAAAATTTAAAAATACATATGTGGTTCACATTATATTTCTATCACACAGCACTAATATAGAGAGATAAAATAAGAAGGCTAAAACATAACTTATGAGAATATAACTTTTGGGGTTTTCTAAGCTATAGATGCTGATTTCTCACTTTTCCTTCCAGAAGTCTATATACATACATGCACACATATAACACGCGTGGACTCAGACTACACTCATCATTCCCTACCTTAATTTGTTTAATAAGATGTCTGAGAGTTTTTGTTGTTGTTGTTGTTATTGTTTTTGAGACAGACTCTCGCTCTGTTACCCAGGCTGGAGTGCAGTGGCGCAACCTCAGCTAACTGCAACCTTCATCTCCCGGATTCCAGTGATTCTCCTGCCTCAGCCTCCTGAGTAGCTGGGATTACAGGCACCGGCCACCACACCCAGCTAATTTTTGTGTTTTTAGTAGAGATGGGGTTTCACCTTGGCCAGACTGGTCTCAAACTCCTAACCTCAAGTGATCCTCCCACTGTGGCCTTCCAAAGTGCTGGGATTACAGGTGTGAGCCACTGTGCCTGGCGGAGAGTTCTTTCATAAAAACACATAGATCTACTTCCCTCCAACACGTCAAGCCTGGGTGCCAGGGAGAACTGTGGTTCTTACAGTTTCCCTGACTTAACATATATTCCCTCCTGCTGTTTCCTCACCTGGGGTGCTCCTTCTCCTTCCTTGTCTACTGTGGCCTCATCAACTTATCACTTCACATGCCTTCTTAGATGGCCTATTTGAATTCTCCCAAGTATATTAAAATGAAGACTCAATACCAGACTCTTTAAAGAGATACAGTAGACATGTTTGTCCCTGCAATATGACTGAGACATACTTGCGGGCAGGAGCTACATCTTATTTGTGTTTGTTTGCCATATGCCTAGAATACAGTGTCAGGCAATAGTGGGTGCTTGGGCAGTGTTTGTAGAATTAGGAAATAAATAAGTGAATGAGTGAAGCACCTCTTTATATGTAGTCTAGAAATTCAAGTCATAGAAAGAAAAGTAAATGTACAAGACCTATATCTCATGGCAAATAGACATTTAAATACACACCACAGTCTACTCAGGAACAGGAATAAAATTTAAAATATGACATATGATAGAAATCAAATGCTTTTCCCCTATTTTAAAATATGATAAAAAGTGGAGCCATTTAATCATCATGATTGCCCTATAATAATGCTAGACTTTTAAAATTAATGTATTCAACAAATATTCATTGAATATTTATTATGCACCAAGAAATGTGTTGCCTCTGAGTACACAAAAGTGAATAAAACACATGTGACTCCCGCCCAAAGAGAACTTAATTGTCATAAAGTTCAATGCGAGATGCCTGGCAATTTTTTTTTTTAATTACTGTTATTTAAAAAAA